TGATTTGGATTTTTTTTTTTTTTTTCTTAATCCCTAGCATGGAATTCTTGCTTAATAGAAAGCATTCCTGCCAGGTGTGGTGGCCCACGCCTATAATCCCAGCACTCAGGCTGAGGCAGGAGGAGTTCCAGGCCTGCCTGGGCTACATAGAAGTATTCCTGCCATAAAATACTTCAGAAGGATTAGTTATCATTTTTTTGGATTTTTGAGACAGGGTCTCACTATGTAGTCCAGGCTGGCCTCCAACTTGCAGTGATCCTCCTGCCTCAGCCTCCCAAATGCTGGGATCACACGTGTGCACCACCACAACCAGTCCTTGGATTATCTTCTTAAAAGATCACTGATGTGTAATTTGTGAGATGACCTCTAGTTGCTAACTAGAGCTGAGACTTGAGTCTTTACTGTCCACAGTACTAAGGATTCAGACGGCTAAGCTCCTGTCCTGTCATCATAGGTACTTGTAATTAGCTGGGTTTCCTTGCGTGTTGACTGTGTATATGCATTTTCGTATTACTGTACAGTAGTTTCTCATTTATACTGTATATGTTAGGGCTTTTTCATTTGAAGAAATAGTTGATGGCTGTGACTAACTCCTTTCCTGCTAAAAGAACTCCTGTGTTCTTAATCTTTGTAGCTGAAGTGTCCTCGAGTGAAAAAGAGGAAGATGTGTTCATGGGCATGGTTTGCCCGTCAGGTACCAACCCCGACGACTCTCCCCTGTACGTCCTGTGCTGTAATGACACCTGCAGCTTCACCTGGACTGGAGCAGAGCACATTAACCAGGTTAGTGCTTGTCTGGCTCCCTCTGTTGGACCATCATTAGAGTTACAGGTTTTAGGTTTTACATGTTAAGTCTGATAGTTGCTTTTACTATGAGTTATAAAACTCTCCAAAGAATATTAATTTTGATTTAATTCCTAAATAAATGAGTCAAAAGTTGATTACTAAATAAAATATGGCGCATTATGAGAAATGGAAGTCTTCACCAAGTTGTACAATCTGATCTAGAGCTTTTGGTACATATTTTTATAATTATGCCTTTTTGGGGATGATAACATTTTTTTTGTCCTACAGGTAATATTTTAGTTTCACCTATATAGTACTGCAGATTGTATATTCACTGAATCCTTTTATAACTCCTTATTTTCCAGAGTGCATTAGTTTTACTCTGCTGTTGTTGTGATAGAACTATGATAGGAAATACCACAAGTAATTAGTAAGATTAGATATGCACACAACCATTCTTTTAAAAGCACACTCCTGGCAGTTTCAGTGAGAAGGCAGCCGAGGTGGCTGTCTCAGTTAAGATGAAGCTTCTGCTGCTGCTTCTGGTGGCGGTGGTGGCGGCAGTGGTCCGAAGCGAGGCCTTGGCCTGTCTGGGCCGCGTGCCCAGCAAGAGATTGAAGATGCAGTGCCCCATGGGGCCTCTGCTCAAGTTCCAGATTTGTGTTTCCTGAGGTATAGGCGGGTGTTTGAGCAATTAGCTGGTGATACGCAGACATCCAAATTGAAGGAGAGAATTACCTCCTACGACCAATTTATAGACACATCTTTCCTGTCAGTCTTCAGACTAGTGTTAATAGGCGTCGTACTTGTTGTCAAGGGTCCTTTTGCTTTCTTTGGCATGCAAGATCCAAGCATCTGGCAGTGAGGCCAAGAAAATAAGGTCTATGCATGTATGATGGTTTTCTTCTTGAGCAGCGTGATTGAGAACCAGTGTATGTCAGCAGATCCATTTGAGATAACTTTCAGTGATGTACCTGTGTGGTCTAAGCTGGGATCTGGTCATCTTCCATCCAAGCAAAAACTACCAGACAGTGAAATGAAGCATATGGATTCAATCCCACATCATCGATCATAGTCCCGCCTGTCAGCACTGAAAACTTACGTTAAGGAATTTTTGCAAGAGCAGCGTGGCTGATACTATGAAGGCCTGTGCTGAAGACAGCAAGCTGTTAGTGCAGGCCAGATGCTTTTTGGCAGGCTTGTTGTACCTCTTGGAAAACCTCAGCCCAAGAGAGTTTTTCAGTGCTGGCACATGTTGGAATTCTGCACATTTGTGGGGTGCAATAATACTGGATACTCCCCTACCCCCATTCACCTAGTTAATTTTTTAATGTCAGCATTATTACTACTTACAACTTTTTCTCAGTCATATTTGAAAAAGTAGAAATTGAGCTACAGTTCGATTGGCTTTTTTTTTTTCCTCAAGATGTCTGTTAAGTCTGTCGTGGTTTTTAAAATTAAGTTTTGATTTTTTATAGTTTAAAGTTAATCTTTTGGAGAATGCAACTGATGTTCCCAAATACTTTATAAGTTTATCAGACATCTCTAATTTGGCCATGTTCAATTATAGTTTTCAAAATATTGCTGGTTATGAACAATGAATGCATTATGTCAGAGGGTCCAGTATCCAGAGTACTCTACCACTTTGGTATATGTGTGTGATATGAGATAACTACTACAAAACCAGCTGCTTTTTAAATTCTATTGTGTAGTGAAGTGTCTTGCCTTCACCAAACTAGTGAGTTGAATTAACTGGGCCTTTATACTTAACTAAATAAAAAACTAAGCAGATGTAAAAAAAAATAATAAAAGAACACTCCTTTCATTTTAGGATATTTTTGAGTGTCGAACTTGCGGTTTGCTGGAATCACTGTGTTGTTGTACGGAATGTGCAAGGGTTTGTCATAAAGGTCATGATTGCAAGTAAGTGTAGTTCTGATTTTCTTTAATCTTATAAACTGTAGACTTACTGCTGTATAAAATATAACCCATATTGTCATGTCTTAATTGTTGCATAAATCAGAAAGTATGGCTCTTGTTTAAAGTGCATGTGCAATGCTTGTTCTTTGCTAGTTGTAACATAGCCTACCTTAATAAAAGTGGATAATGTGTGGATTATATACAGTGAGTCAGATCTGGTCCATCTTGTGAGAAATGTACCAGCAGACTGTTCTTGTCTGTGTTCTGCAGCCCAAGTCTCAGGCACCCCGGCTCTAGGGTATAACAGAGACAAACTGCTGTAGGAGTTAAGGCTTGGAGAATGTTTGAGCTGTGCTGTACTTACTTTTTAAACTAAACGCAGTAGTCTTCTGTTGTAGCAGTAGAATTACCCCCAGCTAGTTGGGTTAGTTTTCAGAGACCAAAGCCTTAGTACTAACATCTGCAGCATCTCAGTATTATCACCAAGAGCACCAGCTGTACAGATCTGTGGGTGGATGTCACAGGCCATAGCGACCATCTATTGGGCCTTAATATAAGTAACTTTTTATACTTATGTTGATGCTTCACTATAATTTTTGTCAAAATATAGACATACACACACCCTTAGTGGGAATTAAACCAGTGGAGCTGGAACTACATCCCTAGCCCTTTCAATTTTTTTTTTTTTTTTCAAATTTTTGAGACAGTGTCTTGTCAAATTGCCCAGGATGGTCTCAGACTTGGAGATCTGTTGCCACAGCTTCCCAGGTACCTGGGATTACAGGAATGTGATACTGCACCCAACTGCTAAATGAATTTTTCTCATAATTTTGTCTTAGTGAGAGGGTGACAGTGTGCTTATTACTGCTCCTTAAGGGCATTCACGGACTGGGTGCTAGGTGGGCTGCCCTAGATGGCCCTGTGTGCCAGCCTTTGGCGTCCTCGGTAGAGGACACGGAGAGCCTCATCTCAGAGCGGGCAGGCTGGGGCTTCAGGGTGAGTGGGAGTGCCTGCCTGCCCCACTCCCCGATACATCTTCCCAGGGTGCCACCCTCTTGTTAGGTAAACTCAGCATTTGCCTTTGCATTTAAAAGTTCACCAGGGCTCCATATGGTTTCCGTGAATTTTGCCTCCATACTGTCAGTATAGATCCTTATGTATTTAAACAGTTTCTGTAATTGTACTTTTGTGTGAATTTTTTCTAGACTCAAACGGACCTCACCAACAGCCTATTGTGATTGTTGGGAGAAATGCAAATGTAAAACTCTAATTGCGGGACAGAAATCTGCTCGTCTTGATTTACTCTATCGCCTGCTCACTGCTACTAATCTGGTCACTCTTCCAAACAGCAGGCAAGTGGGGGTTTTAGGTGCAGATAAGTAGGGTTGAAAACTGGTGGCACGTGCAGTGGCTCCCCTAACCCTACAGCCCACGCTGTTTTTTAGGGGCGAACACCTGCTGCTGTTTCTAGTGCAGACCGTGGCGCGGCAGACCGTGGAGCACTGCCAGTACCGCCCGCCGCGCATCAGGGAGGACAGAAACCGCAAGACAGCCAGTCCCGAAGGTGAGCAGGGTGACTCCCGCACTTCAGTACAGCGTGTTTCGCTTCGGTCTCACCTCCTTACCTTTCCTCCTCTTCTCCTTCCTGAAGATTCAGACATGCCCGATCATGATTTAGAGCCTCCAAGGTTTGCCCAGCTTGCGCTCGAGCGCGTTCTACAGGACTGGAATGCCTTGAAATCTATGATTATGTTTGGGTCACAGGAGAATAAGGATCCGTATGTATCCTCTGAAACATTTTTAGATTTCTGCATTTCCCACATGGGTGTGGCTTTTCACAGTGCATCCTGTCTGTCTGTTCGTCTGTCTGTGTGTCCGTCTGTCCATCCATCCTTCCCCCTTGCAGCCTAAGCGCCAGTAGCAGGATAGGCCATCTCTTGCCAGAAGAACAGGTGTACCTCAACCAGCAAAGTGGCACGATCCGGCTGGACTGCTTCACCCACTGCCTTATCGTCAAGTGCACAGCGGATATTTTGGTAAGGGCTTTGAATCTGCATTGTGCTTCTTTTTAGCGTCCTGTAGTTTTTTTGTTTGTTTGGCTTTGGTACCAGGGATCGAACTCGGGTCCTTCTGCTTGTGAGGCAGGTGGCGGAACCACTGAGCTAAATCCCTGGCCCAGCGTCTTGTGGTTTTTAAAAGTCAGTCTCAGTAGGATGAGCTGTGCCTGAATAGTACATAAAAGGGAATGAAACTTGGGGTGACTTAAATGCTTCAGTTAACAGCTAAAGCTCCTTTCATTCTTAAAAAAAAAAATCCTAAAATCTGTTAAAATCCAACTATATAAAATGTATGAAATAGTTCAAAATTATGAATAACTTGGTGCAAGCTATTTTTTCTTTAAAGGTATCTCTTTTTCCTTAAATTTGAAGCATAAGACCCATGCTGGTGAGATTGTGGTAAAATGAGTGTTTCCCAGCTGGGGTGGCCCTCGAAGTCCTCCCTCTTGGAAAAGGGCCTGTCTGTGTGGAATCCCATAGAGACAGCATTGGCTTCAGAGCCTGTTAGAAATATTTTACAGTATGAAAAAGATAAAGCCATGTCTCAGGGTGATGTGAAATACTTTATGAATTAGTCATAGTGGACTATTAAATCAAATTGTAGCCCAACCATTTACTGAATGGAGGATAGCAATTTTAAAATGAAGGTTATTGTAAGCAACACTGTAAAGTCAGATTTTCTCTGTCATTAATACCTATGTGTTAAACCTTGGATGGGAAAGAAACCAGAAAGTAATTGTTCATTGAAGAAGATGGGAGTATGAATTTATTAATACAAATATTTGAATCTACTTTTTGTTTTGGGGAATATCCCATAGTGATGGCATACACGCTTCTGATTTGATATATTTGGTGCTGCTTTTCTAAATGTTCACTGATATAAATAGGACTGTGGGACAGAAATAAGAAACCATGCATTTGGGGCCCACTATATGCTAAGCACACTGGTAGGTGTGTTGCATAAATTAGTCATTGTCCTTAAGTTTGTTTTGAGATTTTGTCATGTTAATCCTGGAAACCTGTGAGAGCTTTTTACTTCAAGAGTGTCTAAACATCTTAGGAAGTATCTTAACATTAATAGAATGATTACAATCTTTTAAAGCTTTTAGATACTCTGCTAGGTACCTTAGTGAAAGAACTCCAAAACAAATACACACCTGGACGTCGAGAAGAAGCCATTGCTGTGACCATGAGGTTTCTACGCTCAGTGGCAAGAGTTTTTGTGATTCTTAGTGTGGAAATGGCTTCATCCAAAAAGAAAAAGTAAGGCGTCCTTTTTTATTTTGGCTTTTGTATCATTTCGCACACATTTTTATGATAGCGAACACATTACATCTGTGCAAAGATTCATGAAAGATTCCCATCTTTCCGTTTTTGCCCTAGCAACTTTATTCCACAGCCAATTGGAAAATGCAAGCGTGTGTTCCAAGCGCTGCTGCCTTATGCCGTAGAGGAGTTGTGCAATGTAGCAGAGTCTCTCATCGTTCCGGTCAGAATGGGGATCGCCCGGCCCACGGCACCCTTCACCCTGGCCAGCACCAGCATAGACGCCATGCAGGGGAGCGAAGAGCTGTTCTCAGTGGAGCCACTGCCACCACGCCCGTCACCTGACCAGTCCAGCAGGTAACTCCCTGCCTGGACAGAGGCTGGCTCACTCTTTCTCTGGGAGGAGCACAGTGCTTGGCTCACCAGCCCTTTGCATGAGCACATGGGGAGTGTGCCTCATTGTTTGTGTAACACGTGAGAGAGAATAATTTAAAAGGTGTGAAGACACTTTTAAAATGTTTACATATGTGTATACATCTAAGTTAATAGATGAGTTGCTGTGCTTTGTGTTGGAAAGCCAGTTTTTATTATGTTGATGAAGCAGTTTGGTAAGAAAATTTACTTTAGACTTTTTTCTTCTTTAATTTTTTATTTTTTGTGAGCCAGAGTCTCACTATGTAATCCAGGCTGGCCTTGAACTCACTATATAGCCCAGGCTGGCCTGGAACTTGCAGTGACCCTCCTGCCTCAGGCTCCCAAGTCCGGAATGCCACCACACCCAGCTTTTCCGTCCTTTTAGATACAGTCTGCTAGAAGACCAAATTGAGAAGTCCTGTAACTTTCTCTGTGTTCTAGGTTTGGGCTAGGGGGCTACTTGTTACACAATATAAATAATGATCAGAATGCTGCTTTTTTGTTTATTTTGTGTTGTTTTGGTTATGGTGCTTGTGGGATTTGAGTATGAGGCCTCATGCTCTGTCACTGAGTTATATCCCTAGTGCTTGGGCAAACCTCTTAAATCATCCCAGAATCACTCCTGCTCATCCACATAGTACCAGCACTTTCTACAGCTTTTGCTGGAACACAGAAGTCCTTTTATGTTGAAGCCCTTTTAGCTGAAGAATGTATAGGTGCCCTTGGGCTAAGTGCTGGCACTCTGGGAGGCTGAGACATGCAGATTATGAGTTCAAGCCCACCCAGGACAACTTAGCAAGACTTCTAGAAACAAAAAAAATTTTTTTAAAGGTCTGGGGATGTAGTTCAGTATGAAGGCCCCCGGATCAATCCCCAGCACTTCCGAGGAAAAAAAGAAGAAAGAGAATAGTGTTATCTAGTACTTGGAAATGTCCCTTCCTCCTCTAGGGTTTCTCTTAGCCTCTCCCATCAGTTACAGTACTTACAGTTCCAGTGCTGAACACCGTGTGGAGACCTCTTGTCGCTTTATTTGAGTGGCTCCCTCATGTAACTGCTTTGATCCTCAGAAAACCGAGGTCAGGAGCCGAGGACCCTAATAGTGCGACCTCTTACAGTCTTGTAACTTGAACCTTGTAGCCCTTTTCTTAATTTCTAAATAAAGGTTGGTCCCGGGGCTACTGAGCAGCATTCTTCAGATCTCTGGCCTGCATTTAAAGAGTGTTCTCTTGTTCTCCCCTTCTTTTATGAGGGAGGCATCTGTCTTCTGACTATTTCCAAATCAGGTTTTGAGGGAAGTGAAACCTCTGTGGTCCCCCCTAACCTTGGTTTGGTTATTTTCCTGTTTTAAAATCATACTTTGAACTGATATTTTTTCCCACACACATCAGCAAGTGATTGGTTGCTAAGTTGATGCAAAGTAGAAACGGTGTCTGTTGGGTTTCTTAAAGAAATAGACCCAACGTGTAAAACACACATCTGTTCCTGGATGCATGTTGCCATCAAAGCCTTGAGAAGCTGAGGGTTTCTGATAGAGAAGGAAGTATCTCCCCATAGAATTTTCCAATGGGAGTTTTATTCAAATGTCTGTCAACACAGGTTTGGAATGACTTTCTGAAAGTAATGCGATTTGTAACTTAAGTCTCTGTGATAAAATAATTTCTCTTGAGTTTATATTTTCTGATGGACTGTAGATTAATGTTGGTTTCCAAGAAGTCTCAGGTGGCACCCCAGCCTGTGTCTTGTGTGTAAAAAATGAGCTGGACGCTTCCCTGGCAGTGCACAAGTGTGTGCCTGCCATGGGCAGGCGTGGCAGCCGTGTGCTCAGAGCCCTGCTTCCTTGCAGCTCCAACCAGTCCCAGTCGTCCTACATCATCCGGAATCCACAGCAGCGGCGCATCAGCCAGTCGCAGCCCGTCAGGGGCAGGGACGAAGAGCAGGATGATATCGTTTCTGCGGATGTGGAAGAGGTGGTTTTAATGGCTTTAATTGTGGTAGATGAAAAGGCTTTATTTCGTGCGAAGGGGAGAGTAGTTCCTGGGCTACTATGTGCATTTGCACCCAGCTTCTTTTGTCTCAGTTGTAGTCATATATTAAAAGGATTTTAATAATCCTTGATTAGCTGGATATTAGAAAATTGGACTTGCTTACTTATAAGGGTTATGAGTAAAGCTATTCTCAATGTTGAAAAAAATGGAGTAGTTTCATGCAGCGAATTCATAATGTTGACGTATAGTATATAAAAACAATCCTCTCTCCACTCCCCAGACCAATTTCTTTGTTTTGTTTTGTTTTGTTTTTTGGTACCGGGGATCGAACTCGGGTTCTTCCGCTTACGAGGCAGGCGGTGGAACCACTGAGCTAAATCCCCGACCCCCCAATTTTTATACTACTTTTTTTTTTTTTTGGTACCAAGGATCAAACTCGGGTCCTTGCACTTGCGCAGCAGGTGGTGAAACAACTGAGCTAAATCCCCGGCCCTTATACTGTACTTCTAATTTTAGGATTCTTTATGTGGATAATAATCAGGAACTTTGAGATGTGTTGACAGTTTTGATTTTTGAACTTCCTGCTGTGTGATTTACAGTTCCCTCTGGTTAGGGTCTTTTGTGTTGCAGTTTACCCGTTGTGGAAAGACACTGGTAGAGACGTGGGTTTATTGTGTACTCTGCCTGTCTACAAGTAAGATTCTGGATTCAGGTTGAAGTGGTGGAGGGCGTGGCTGGAGAAGAGGATCATCATGAGGAGCAGGAGGAGCACGGGGAAGAAAATGCCGAGGCAGAGGGACAGCACGACGAGCACGACGAGGACGGTATGCAGGCAGTGCAGTGTGGGAAGAGCAGAGCAGAGCCTCTGGCGCCCAGCTCGCCAGGGTCCCGAATTGTAGGCGTCGCTCAGTCCACGTAGAAAATAGCCTCAAGGGCCGGGGATTTAGCTCAGTGGTTTTGCGACGACTCGAGTTCAATCCCCGGTACCAAAAAAAAGAAAATAGCCTCTTTCCCCTTTCCCTTGGGTTTGAGGAAACTAAAATAATCATAATAATATCATGAAGCATTTGGAAATTAGAGAAGAGGGAAACTAAATCACCCATAATCCCACCCAGATGCTGACAATTTGTATTTTTACTTTCAGTCCTCCCCTGCACATTTTCAAAGATGTAAACGGTATATAAAAATACGTAATTTATAAGTATATATTTTGACACATACTACTATGAAATACAAAGGATGAGCATTTTTAACTTCTCTTTGGAAGCCTCATGAACCAGATGGAGCTGAAGCAGGTAGACCCAGTCCTGGCTTCTCCCGCTGGCCTGAGTGCCCAGACAAGGCTCTGGAGGGGAGCTGGGGGTCACTGACCACTGAGGCTCACTGCGCATGCCCAGTGCAGTCGGCCCCCCTGGCTTAGCAGACCCTGACTCATGCCGAGTGAGTTGGCACTTTATCCTCACGGTTTGAATCTGTTTTCCAGGCAGTGACATGGAGCTTGATTTGTTAGCAGCGGCAGAAACGGAGAGTGACAGTGAAAGCAACCACAGCAACCAAGACAATGCGAGTGGGCGCAGAAGCGTGGTCACGGCGGCCACTGCAGGCTCGGAGGCAGGTGTGTCGCTTCACTGGGCCCCTGTCTGGGTTCAGCACGAATCCACCTGACACTTCGTGGGATGTGCTCGAGGGGGTCAGAGCCTGTGATACCATCTGCTCTTAGGAGCTTGCTCCCAGCTTTTCTGTATACAAAAACAAATTACTTTTAAAGTTCATTTTAGAGTTCTTTTCTAATTATTTTATTGGTAGTTTCCTGGGCTATTACGTACAACTTAGCATTGTGTTTAATATGTTTTCCTGAACAAAGGGGTGCATTGTAATTTCAGTTGTCAGTAGACTCACTGTGTTTTTGGCTTTAAAAATTAAAAATTTTAGGAGCGAGCAGTGTTCCTGCCTTTTTTTCCGAAGATGACTCTCAATCAAATGACTCGAGTGATTCGGACAGCAGCAGCAGCCAGAGTGACGACATAGAGCAGGAGACCTTCATGCTGGACGAGCCGCTGGAAAGGACCACAAGCAGCTCCCACGCCAATGGGGCCGCGCAGGCCCCCCGCTCCATGCAATGGGCTGTGCGCAACACGCAGCACCAGCGTGCAGCCAGCGCGGCTCCATCCAGCACCTCCACACCCGCAGGCAGGTGTCAGCTCACTCCTGGGAGCTCAGACTGCTCATGTGCCTGGAAAACAGTGCTTTCGCAGCAGTTGTTTATTGTTAGGTTCAAGGAAGAAGCGATGTGCGTGTGACCGCAGCAGGCTCTCTGACTGGGTCACCCTTCACTGCCGGGCCATGGTGCACATGGCAGGGTGCTGAGCAGCATTCCCAGCCAGTCCTTGTGTCCCACCCCCCACCAAAAGCATAACCAAAAGCAGCTCACATTTTACTGTCCGACCGGCCCCCTTTTGCCAGCTGGTGGGAGGTGCAAATGCACCCCCACTGAGAACACTTCATTTTCACCTTCCCCAATGCTCCCTTTTGCAAATTAGCATAGTTTAAGGAATCAGAAACTGACAACTTAGATTTCTGTAAGTTATCTATAGTTGCCACAGCAACACGAGTAGCGACTCATGTTAGCTCACTGTGGTTGTCCTTCTCCTTACAGCGAGTTCAGCAGGGTTGATCTATATTGACCCCTCTAACTTGCGCCGCAGCGGGACTATCAGCACAAGTGCTGCTGCAGCGGCAGCTGCTTTGGAAGCCAGCAATGCCAGCAGCTACCTGACATCCGCGAGCAGCTTAGCCAGGGCCTACAGCATTGTCATCCGACAGATCTCAGACCTCATGGGCCTTATCCCCAAGTACAACCATCTGGTGTACTCTCAGATTCCAGCCGCTGTGAAGCTGACCTACCAGGATGCAGTGAACCTGCAGGTATGGAGCCATGGAAAAGTTACACGTTCACTCTGGGTTTGCAATGAATGTGACAATATCAATGTAATGGGACTTGAGTATCGCAAATGTTTAAATGTTGACATGCTACTACTATCTCAACTCTAGCTCTACCTGGATAGTCTTTAACTATTTTAGTTTGGTCTTCATAGAACTATGTAGAAGAAAAGCTTATTCCCACTTGGAACTGGATGGTCAGTATTATGGATTCTACTGAAGCTCAATTACGTTATGGTTCTGCATTAGCATCTGCTGGTGATCCAGGACATCCAAATCACCCTCTTCACGCTTCTCAGAACTCAGCGCGAAGAGAGAGGATGACTGCACGGGAGGAAGCTAGTTTGCGAACCCTTGAAGGCAGACGGTACGAAAGTCTTCCTTGTACTTCCGTGTAGAAACAGAGTCTTTCTGTCTGAAAAAGCCAGAGCTTTTTGATTTTTGTTAGGTTCAACCTCAGCCTGTTGAGGTCGGAAGAAATAAAGGCAGTAAATGCCCTGCATTTCTTTTTAAAAAACAGTTACTCAGCTGAAGCAAAATAAGTTACAGTTATACCTTGGTACTCAGCGGATTGGAAACACTGAGCTACATCTCCAGCCCTTTTTTAAAAATTTGATACAGGGTCTCCTAAGTTGTCCAGGTTGGGCTTGAACTTGCAGTTGTCCTGTCTCAGCCTCCCAGAGTGCTGGGATTACAGGTGTGCATCACCATTCCTAGCTGCATGATGATTTTATGGTTCATCCCTGTTTCTCATGAAGCACTAATTTCATTCTTTTTTATTTCTTAATGTCTCCTGAGTGTACCGCATTTTGTGTATCCGCTCATCCTCTGGACATCCAGGTTGTGTTCGCCATCCTGCTGCTGGGCATGATGTGTGCTGCACATTGGTGTATCACCTTCGGTCTGGACCTGTGGTTTCAGTTCTTTGGGGTGGATTACCTTGTCGTAGAGCTGTGGTGGCACTGGTCTAAGTTTAATATTTTGAGAAGTGCCAGGCTTTTCCCAGATTCAGAACAGTGCTATTGGAGAGCTTCAGTCTCTGCATCTTTGCCAGCACATGTTGCTTGCCTTTGGGGTGTAGCCGTCTACTGTGTGACTCAGTTTCTCCTCGCCGCTTAATTTGCATTTTTTTTTTTTTTCGGTACCTGGGATCGGACTCTGGTCCTTGATGCATGTGAGGCAGGCAGCAGACCCACTGAGCTAAATCCCTGGCCCTAATTTGCATTTCTTTAGTGGCTAATGATATTGGTCATCTTCCGTGCAAATTGGCCATTTGGAGAGATGCCTGTTTAGAGTTTTTCCTGGTTTTTTGTCTGTTTGGTTTGAGACAGGGTCTCCCCATACAGTTCAGGCTGGCCTTGAACTCACTGTGTAGCCCAGGTTGGCCTCGAACTCAGATTCTCCCACCTTAACCTCCCAAGTGCTGGGATTACAGGCATGTGCCATCATGCCTGGCTTTTTTTGATATTATGAATTTTTTAATATTCTGAATGCAAGTCTCTTATAAAATGTATGATTTGCAGAAGTTTTGTCCAAGTCATCTTTCACTTTCTTGATGGTGTCTCTGAAGTACTGTAGTTAATTTGGATAAAGTTGAATTTATTTGTGTTTTTGTTTGTTTGTGCTTTTGGTTCATTTTTAGGGAGTCCTTCTCAAAGTTTGATCCCTAGAATAGCAATATCAACCTTCCCTAGGAGTTTGTTAGAAATTTAAGTTCTAGCCAGGCATGCTGGTACACACTTGTGATCCCAGTGGTCTCAGGACTGAGGCAGAGGGAAATCACTAATTTGAGGCCAGTCTGGGTGATTTAGCAAGATCTGTCTCAAAATAAAATGGGCTTGGGGTGTAGCTCAGTAGTAGAATGTGTGTCTAGCATCGCCAAGGCCATGGGTTCAGTCCCCAAGTATTGTGAGACAGAAAAGAAGGAAGAAAGGGAGAGAGGGAAGAAGGAAGTAAAAAAATGGGGCTAGGGCCAGCTATCTGTTTTAAGCCCTCCAGGTGGGTGATTTTGATGGATCCTGGTTTGAGAATCATTGTCTTAGGGAAAGGGTTCCTTCTGCCATTCCAAAGCTTGCTAGAATTCCTTTCTTGTACAACAGTATAGGACTGTAAATCTTACACAGTGGTTCTATATCTAAAGCAGAGCCATAAGCTTGGTAAGTATTTGTTAGTATTCTCAGCTCATTTTGCCTATTTATGCTAGAGGTAATTTCACATTTGTGCTTTTTTGTAAACTTTTTTCCATTTCTTTTTGCTCCTGTAGACGTGCCACATTGCTAAGTGCCCGGCAGGGAATGATGTCTGCTCGGGGAGATTTCCTAAATTATGCTCTTTCTTTAATGCGGTCTCATAATGATGAGCATTCTGACGTCCTTCCAGTTCTGGATGTCTGCTCACTGAAGCATGTGGCCTATGTTTTCCAAGCCCTTATATACTGGATTAAAGCAATGAACCAGCAGACAACTCTGGACACTCCTCAGCTGGAACGTAAGAGGTACCCACACTTGCCCTGAGTTCGCTTTGAGTAGGATGCGCTTAGTGCGGGCTCTGTTAGGAAACTGTCAGATTGCAGCGGAGGAGCAGTTCAGGGACATCCAGTCAGGCGGTCTGGGTCTGCCTGGCCTTTCTCTGTCGTGACTTCTCCTCCCTTCGTGTGGGAAGCCCAGGAATTCAGTTATGGCTCAGACTTGGCATAGCTCAGCCTAAGCACTTATCTTTCTGTGAGAGTTTAGACGGCCCCGCTGCTTCCAAGATTTTTTTGCTTCTGTTCAGCCCAGTCTGCTATTGTAGTGCATGAGGCTGATCAGTCCACCATTTCCCAGAGACCGAAACCGCACGGAGTGTAAGGAATGGGTTGGCTCCTAAGTGCCCTTCACAGTGTATTTGCTTTAGGTGCCTCACCCTGCCTCTGTCCCCCCTATACATCTGTTTCATTAAAATGACTCCCTTGTCTTTTTAAAGGACTCGAGAACTTTTGGAACTGGGTATTGATAATGAAGATTCAGAACACGAAAATGATGATGACACCAATCAAAGTTAGTGCCCAGAAAATCTGCTAATCTAGCTCAAGAAAAGGCCACCTCAGTAGTTCCCCTTCATGGGTTTTAGTTTCATTATTTTCTGTCTGGATGGGAATTTCTCTTTTCTTCTCTCTGTCCCATTTCTTTCCTTTTTTGTCCATTTCTCTTTGCACATCCTTATGTTGTATGTTTCATAATTAAGGGTGAATTAGAGATGCATGCATACTTTTCAGTCAATATTTCTTTCCTGTTTTATCTTCCTGCTATATCCCTTTTTTGTATTTCTTAATTTTAAATTTACCTTTCCTCTTAACTGAAGTATGTAGGTACTAAATTTAAACAAAGTCTTAGGAAAGCCTTTGTTAATATTGATGCAAAACAGATTTTGTCAAGAAAATGTAAATAACTCCTGAAGGCCGGACGTGGTGGTACAGGCCTGTGATCCCAGCACTTGGGAAGCTGAGGGAGGAGGATCGTAGCAATTTCAGGGCCAGCCAGGGCTACATAGTGAGACTCTGTCTCAAAAATTTTAAAAACGAAACAAACAAAAAACCCGAGAGTAACTCCCAAATATCAAAACTTTTAACAGTTAATGCAAACTAAAGAATTTTTGTGGGGTTAAGGATGTAGCTCAGTGGTAAAACGCTTGTCTAGTGTCTAGCTCAGGGACTTGTTCAGTTCCTAATAATGCAATATAAAAATAAAATTTGTAGGCCGGGGATTTAGCTTAGTGGCTCCACCGCCTGCCTCACAAGCACAAGGACCCGAGTTCAATCCCTGGTACCAATAAATAGATAGATAAGATAGATACATAGATACATACATACGTACATACATAATAAAATAAAATAAAATTTGTTTTTCTCCAAAAGTTTTAGTGCCACAAAATGTGGGTTGAGAAAAAAAAAAATTGGGTTGAGAGAATCTTTTTCTGTTATTTCAGTGGGGAGTTAAAGACTTAAAATGTGTCGAAAGAGTCTATTCTCTTGCTTCTTATTCTCAACTAGTACTTTATTTAGCCTCAAGAGTGGGTCAGGATGGTGCCATGCCTGTACTCCCCATACTCAGGAGGCTGAGGCAGGAGGATAACTGAGTTCTAGGCCAGCCTGGGCTACATAGTGAGGACCTTGCTCCCCAAAATAATAATAATTCACCTAGGAAAAGGCAGCTGACCTGAGTTTTGAGAACTCAGCCCTAGCTCAATGCCATGCTCACAGCACACTGGGTACCAGTGAGGCCTGGCGGTGCTTGGTCCTGCCTCAACGTGGGAACACACGAAGTGCCAGCATCTTGTCTCCCTTGCCACAATAAGTGCCCGTTTCCAAGACTGGGTGTTTCCTCTTGGAGTCAGTAGTGAGTTGGGCCTTACCTTGATTAGGAAACCACTATATTCAGGCTTGAGTCTCTCGATCAGTGGTGGCAAACCTATGGTACGCGGGCTGCAGCTGGCTGTTTGTATCATTGAAAGCTCCAAAAGGTTTGCCATCATTGCTCTAGATAGATAAAGATAGGAGGTATTGTCCAGTGCAGAATGGAACAGTATTAGTTACTGGTAATTTTTTTTTTTTTTTTTTTTTTTTTAGTACTGGGGATTGAACTCGGGTCCTTGTACTTGTGCAGCAGGCGACGAAACCACTGAGCTAAATCAGTTTTTGATTGTTGTAAGAGACATAAAATTTACCATTGTGACCATATTAGATTGCTATCTTGATACTCTTTTACCCCTCCCTAATAATTATTAAACAAAATACTTGATCTTTTTGTGTTTAGGTGCTGCTTTGAATGATAAGGACGATGACTCTCTTCCCGCAGAAACTGGACAAAACCACCCATTTTTCCGACGTTCGGACTCCATGACGTTTCTGGGGTGCATCCCCCCAAACCCCTTCGAAGTGCCTCTGGCCGAAGCCATCCCCTTGGCTGATCAGCCCCATCTGTTGCAGGTAAATTAGCCTCGTCCCGAGTGCAGGTTTCCTTCTGACCTCCTCTGCAGTGTTTGGCATAACTAGAGTATGTCTGTTCCAATTCCAGCCAAACGCTCGAAAGGAGGATCTCTTTGGGCGCCCAAGTCAGGGTCTTTATTCCTCATCTGCCAGTACCGGGAAGTGCTTGATGGAGGTCACAATGGACAGAAACTGCCTCGAGGTAAATTCTGCGATATAACACTTGTTAACGAGAGCTTATGCCAGCACCTAGATTTTTAGAAACCCATTAATTCATAGTATTTTATTTCCTCAAATAATAGAAGTGTCAGAAATTCCTGCTTTATGATGGGATGAGTTATACCACTTGTCCAACTTCCTGTCAGATCACTTCATCCATAAAATAGCTTCAGCATATGCTTGGTCCATTTCAGGGTTGATTGTTATACACTATTGAAATTTAAAATTTTTATATATAGATACTTGTTTTATAGATATGAGCATATTTAATTTCAGCTTAAAAGTTTCCTTGACTTGCTGAATTAATGTGTATCAAAAATGTAGTTAATATGCCATTACAAATCTTATTCTGTACTACTAATATGCACCAATTTAAAAAAGTGTAGATCAGTGAGGTACTATAAATAGTGATACTTAACATTTATTAATTCCGTATCCTGGGCACTCACAGTCTCAGTCTTCACAACCATGTTGGGTAGAGAGCGTTATCTTGATTCTGTGGTAAGAAATTGAGATTATAGGGCTGGTGATTTAGCTCATGGTGTCACTGCCTGCCTCAAAAGCTCAAGGTCCTGAGTTTGATACCCGGTACCAAAAAAAAAGAAATTGAGATTATAAATAGCTGGTACTTAGGAATGTCTGTTGGCACACCACTGGTTCAGTGGCGAGAAGATAATAGTTTTCACATGTGGGTCTGATGTGTGGCTAAGTTGCACCCCGTTTCTCCTGAAAGGGAGTACCATGTTAAAAGAAAGCAGGTATAGAAGAGATGTAGCTGAATAAAATGTTTAAATTACCTGAGTGATAAAGGAGAATGCAATACCAGAAGTACTGGAAATGTGTGAAAGTCTTAGGCACACAGGTATTGCAGAGATTCACTTAGCAGTCCTGTGGTTACTGTGGAAATATGCTGGGCTTAGTGGCCAGTCAGAGGGGTCAGATGGACAAGAACAGACGGCGTCTTCACGGGGGAAGCTCCTGAAACGACGACATTATTAACTTCTGTGTGATTTTAGTGATTACTAAACCAACCACAAATTTAACCAATTTTTTTCTTAATGTATAACTTTTAAATATAAAAAAATTCATAGGTTCTTCCAACTAAAATGTCTTATGCTGCCAATCTGAAAAATGTAATGAACATGCAAAATCGGCAAAAAAAAGAAGGAGAAGAACAGCATGTGCTGGCAGAAGCAGCTGAGAGCTCCAAACCAGGGCCTTCTGCTCGTGACCTTGCTGCTCAGCTGAAGAGCAGTTTGCTGGCAGAGATAGGCCTCACCGAAAGCGAGGGGCCCCCGCTCACATCCTTCAGGTACCTGGCGAGGGGCAGGAGTTTCCTGTGCTTGCATGGCTTTATAGTCATTTCAATTCTTGAAAGAATTTTATTTAGAAGTTTTATATTTTGTAAATTTATTTGTATACAAATAATTAAATGTATATAAATTACTTCTATTATTTCCTAGTTAGATACCAAAAATTGAGTATTCCGGATTGGGACATTTGTGACCGTTTTTGTCATTGCTCAGTGTTTTTTCACTTTATTGAAGAAGCTCTAAGACTTTATGTTTTTAGGTTTGATACTGAGTCAAAATACATATACATGTCAACTTGCCAATTATAGACTTGTTACCAGCAGCTCAACAAAGGGGACAGATGTGAATAGAAAGAGTAGAATTTCCAGATTTGTGACTCATACTTACTTGGGCTCCTTTGCCTGGTTCAGAAAAATGCAAGATGGAGGCTTTTGTTTACTTTACACATATTCCTGGTATGTACCCTGCTTGGTTTGGGTAATCATCACAAGATCTGTTGACTGCTTTCTGCAGCTTCCTAACTGTGACCTAGACGCTGGTTACCTGGTATTGCAGGAGTTAGTGAGATAGGTAATGGTGGTTCAGTCTTCCCAGAGGAGTGTGGCTTGAGCCAAGATGGTTGGAATGCACAGAAACAGACTGGAGAAAAGAGTTAGAAAGCAACTGTTAGCTCTAGCTAGCCAATGAGGAAAAGAGGCTCAGGTGGAGTATTGGCTTCCAGGATGGAAAGGAAATCATGTAAAGAAGAGAAACTCAGAATGGGCTTTGTCATTCTGGAGGAACCAGAAAGGAAAATGTGCTTCAGGTCTGAGCAATAGGGAAATAAATGGTACTAATGTAAAGGAAAAAAAATCTTGGCCATGTCTTCTCTCTGTGTTGAGTTTGAGTCAAGCATCACTGATCATGATATATTTAACAAATGGATTCTGATTCATTGTGGAAATTTGTTTCTTTTTGGTACCAGGGATTGAACTCGGGTCCTTGCTCTTACAAGGCAGGTGGCGGAACCACTGAGCTAAGTCTCCGGCCCCTGTTGTGGAAATTTGTACTAGAGGGGGATCTGTCCTCTTAAGTGCAGGTTGACTAAAGACTTTAAGGAGAAGAAGTAAAATGATAAGTTGAAGACAGGAGGCATTTGGGGGATGAAGTATTCATATGTAGAGAACATAAGGACAAAGTAGCTATGGAAATCCTCTCTTATTAGAGAGAGTGTGGTTTGAAATACTTAGGTGTCAGAAGAGTAAAAGAACAACCAAAGTGCTGTCGTTGACCAAAACCAGTGAATTTGGGGAACTGGCTAAATTCTTCCCCCCTTAAATGTCTTCCAGGCCACAGTGTAGCTTCATGGGCATGGTCATCTCCCATGACATGCTGCTGGGACGCTGGCGCCTGTCTTTAGAACTGTTTGGCAGAGTGTTCATGGAAGATGTTGGAGCAGAACCTGGATCAGTATGTATTTTGTGTACTTTGAATTCTATTTTGCCTGATAAGAACATATTTCACAGAATAATTCTGTCATGCATTTTTTTAAAGATCCTAACCGAATTGGGTGGTTTTGAGGTAAAAGAATCAAAATTCCGTAGAGAAATGGAAAAACTGAGAAACCAGCAGTCAAGAGATTTATCACTAGAGGTAAAGGTATTTAGATTTTCTTATATTATACCTATAATATACGATTTATGTAAACTTAAAAACTTGCAGGAATAGGTGCTTAAAATTAAAATTTTCAGGAAGTGATAATCACCAAAATTTAGAATAATAATTTTCTCTGACAGCTCCCTGTTATCCTCTAAAGATGACCAAAGAATTTCAAGTTTTAGGTTTTTTTTTTTTTTTTTGGTACCGGGGATTGAACTTGGGTCCTTGCATTTGCGCAGCAGGCAGCAAAACCACTGAGCTAAATCCCGGGCCCAAGTTTTAGGTTTTTTAAACAGCTTGATTATTCTCACATGGATTTAACCAGTTTTGATGTGGAGGTTGTTCTTGGAGATTCTTCTTATCGATCCTCAGAAGGGCCCGGCTTTGGCCTTTTGAGTCCTCTGTAACCGTGTCCCAGTAGTCTTCGTCCTTATTATTCCTTCTGTTCCATGTGCGTTTCCTGTCACAGACCTTTAACCAGCCATTTCCTGAAAAAGCCCCGAGTGCTTTTTGTAGGAAATTAGATTTTTGAGGTTGTGACATAGGTTCTAGGGTTACACATTGCTGCTGGGCAATTACTGTTTCCAGGTCTTTTTAGTGGATAGTCAGGAAGTGTGCCCACCTTAACCTGTCCCCCTCCATTAAAAAAAGGAAAAAAACAATCCCGATTCAGTAGGCCACAAGGTTGTTTTGTTATTTTTCACCTTTTAGATCTTAAATCTATATATAGATTTATATGTAGATCCAAATTGAATATCCAACTTCTCAACAACATTGATAAAATTATTCACTTGCTTTTTATCCCACAGCGTGTACACGGCAGTCTTAAAATTACAGCGTCAACATTGGCACCAACAAGTGGTTATTAAAAGTAGATTAATTTACATTTTTGCTCTTCAGTTAGAGATATTAGCAAATTGGTTTTAGAGTCATTTGAATAATTTCACCTGTGTTTGCCCCCGAACCCGGAATGGAATCCAGCCTTCACGCTCAGCTGCATCCCCAGCCCTTTTTATTTCTTCAGAGAGGGTGTCATTAAGTTCCCTGCTTGGGACATGAGCTTGCTTCCTGCTGCCTCAGGCCCCTAGAGTGCCAGGGTTACAAGTGTGACCACCATTCCTGGCTCGTAGCTTTCTCTCTAGAGATATTCCATCTTTTATAGCTGCTTAGTGTACTGTATTTTATGGTTGTTATCAGTTGTTTTTTGTTCTTTAAAAATTTTTTTTAGCAAATCCCTTATTAGCTAGACATATGGGTTTGTTTCTATTCTTTTGGTATTAGTAGTGTGATAAATAGCCCTGTGTTTCTCTTTTTGCTAATGTGACTTCAAGATAGAGTCATAGACATGAAATTGCATATGTAATTTCCCCAGATCCTGCCAAATACTTCTACATGTGGTTGTATATTTGTGCATTTTCACCATCAGTAGGAGAATGTCTGATCACCATAGCCTGACTAGCAGTTTGTTGTCAAGTTTTTAGATTTTGGCTAGTCTGATGGGTAAAACAGGACACCTTAGTATAGTTTTTATTTACATTCTTGTACTTGAGAAAAGTTAAAGTTTCATATACTTAGGATCAGTTATATAAATATATATATTTGAATATATATGAATTCTTGGTATATTTTAAATTTGATATACTTACTAGTTTTTTCCCTAAGATTTTAGTTATGTGTCTTTAGGTGGTACACACTTATTCATGAATATATGCATCATTGGGATAGAAGGTGCAGATATTTTTCCCAGTTTGTCACATTTTTTTCCCATCCCCTGTTTGTGTTTTCTGCCATTAGGGAATTCATCCATGTTATATAAAAAAGTTTATCTCTGGTCCATTTGGAATTTATTCTGGTATATCCCAGAATAGAATGGTTATTATTTTCCAATAGATCTTTGAGAGAAAATGTTAAAATTGAATTATATTCCCTTGTCCTGATTTAATGCAGGCATTCTTACTTGTTTTAGAATGTTGTGAATTTAGGATGTCTTCATATCTAAGAACCCAAATTTCTACGTAGTTTTTAAAACTACTAAGGAAAAGGTAAAATTCAGTTTTCAGACTTTATTTGCAAAAAATGGTTTCCATCATTGAATTTACTGCTTTCTGGCATGTTTTCATAGGTTGACCGGGACCGAGACCTGCTCATTCAGCAGACCATGAGGCAGCTTAACAACCATTTCGGCAGGAGATGCGCGACAACGCCAATGGCTGTGCACAGAGTGAAAGTCACGTTTAAGGACGAGCCAGGAGAGGGCAGTGGTGTAGCGCGAAGTTTTTATACAGCCATTGCACAAGCATTTTTGTCAAACGAAAAATTGCCAAATCTAGATTGTATCCAAAATGCCAACAAAGGCACCCACACGAGTAAGTACCTCACTGATAACAAGCATCGTTGGAATTATTTTTTTGTTCATCAGGACACAAATCATAGTCATTATGTATCTTTATAGTGGAATAATTTTACTCTATATTTGTATTTTCATATAACTTTGTTCTAGATTAATGACAATCTTGATTAAACTAGTTGACAGGTTTGTTTATTTATTTATTTATTTTTGGTACCAGAGATTGAACTCGGGTCCTTGCACTTGCGCATCAGGTGGCGAAACCACTGAGTTAAATCCCCGGCCCTAGTTGGCAGTTCTAAGAGTTTGCTCTTCTACTGCCACAGTTATTTTGATGGGTGTTGGTGATTGTCCTGGTTTCCCCTTGTGGTGGTCACTTGATCAGGTGACTGTGAGATAGTGATGATATAAAAGTCAGTGAGCAAACTGCAGTCTTTCCTCCACCCCTGTATTAACATGAGATTTGAGTAGAAAATGCCTTTCTCTACATAGGCTATTCAAAGTGTGGTTCACAGGCTGGGTGCTGGTCTCCATTACAATTTGGAGATTGAAACCAGATGTAAACCGAACTGCATCAATAAGCTCACTATAAAAAAAGTAAGCTCACTATGTTAACTTAACAAGATTGTTTTTTAAGCAAAACTTTGTGTATCAGTGTCCTGGAGAGTATAAGCTTATCATCTTGTTGAGAGTCAGCACTTTGTGATTAGGGATCTTAGCTAATTTTCAAGATTACAATCAGCAAAATTTAAAATTGTGAAAATTACCAAACCCTTAGGAGATGGGAACTGCTGAGTTACATCAAGTAGGGACAGAATACTGATTGTTGTGTGTCGTAAGTGGATGGTTATAGATATGGAGGAAGAGAATGTTTTTAGACATTACTAAGAAAATCCTCGGTTTACCTAGGCCACCTCTGTCTCATCTGGATTGTAGCAGCCACCCTGTGGGGACTGCATGAGCTGCAAGAGAGGAGAGGGTGTAAAAGACGGGGGCCGTTGGCTGGCCTTTCATCGGCACTTTTCCCTGTGACTCCCTGTGAATTTGAAATAAAGGGTTCAGCAGATTTTAGGTTTTCCTAGGCACTCATAACATTTCAGAGGTATCTTTTTTGCCCAGTTTGGGTCGGTATTTAAAAATGAAACTGCTACTGTTCTGTTGGCCTGTGTTGCTTAATGCCCAAAACCCAGAAGAGAGACCACAGGTGAGTGATTATAATCATAGAGGAACCTGCAGCATTATTTACGATGAGATTAACATACCCCATTGCTACGTACACAGAGTGATCCAAAAACATGGTAATGTTTAAATACAATTTATTACAATATTACAGTAAAAAATATGTTGCCACTAATCTCCCTCACAATACTCCCCCTGGATGTGAACATGCCTGTGCCATCATTCTTGCCAATGTGCTTACTGTAGTAAGTTTTTTAATTTAAACATTCACTGTACTTTGAGATCACCATCTATATTTCACAGCTTTGATATGTCAAGGGGAAAATGCATGCTGCAAATCCTGAAGTCTGCAGTGAGTTTGTGGGTGTTCTGCACAGCCTGGTGCACAGCTCTCAGCGCAGGGAGGGGCAGCACTAGCGACAGACAGCAAGGAAGAGGCCCTGCCCCCCTGTCCCCCGGCTCCACTCAGGTCTTCGCACTGAGATGTAAGGTAGTTGTGTTTGTATTTATCTAAATAAACTATGTTTCATCTTTTCTTCTAGGTTTAATGCAGAGATTAAGGAACAGAGGAGAGCGAGATCGGGAAAGGGAGAGAGAAAGGGAGATGAGAAGGAGCAGTGGCTTGCGAACAGGTTCTCGGAGAGACCGAGATAGGTATATGATAATTCTCTTACTGAGTACCACTCTTCTGGACAGATTGGACATAGGTTGTAAATGAATGAAAGAATCTTAATTACAGACTGTGTTTTAGAAAATGGAAGTTTTAGCCCAGTATCACAGTGATGCAGGTCTGTGACCCCAGCACTCAGGAGGCTGAGGCGGGAGGATTGTGCAGGTTTGAGGCCAGCCTAAGATACATAGTGAGACCTTGTCTAAAAAAAAGGAAAGAAAATGAAAGTTTTAAGGTTTGGACATTACTAAAAAAAAGTTCTTTTCTAAAAACCGAAAGGCAGTTGAAATTATATTGCCTTTTTATTTATCCACTGAAATTCCTAATTGTTTGACATTTTTATTACATTTATATCATTCTTCCCTTAGTTTATCTTCAAATCTAATTTTTGGCAAACTGTGATATTGAAATCTTTTGATTTTTTTCTCTTTTTGGAATGGGTTGCATTTTACTTTTAATTAAAATTTCCAGGAATTGATTTCTGATACCTTAATGTCCTGTTCCCTCAGAATCAAATTATACTTATAAATGTATAGTTATCCAAGTGACAAATCTGGCAAGTCATTACATACTTCCCAGGCATCATCTGTGTAGGGACCCTGCCACCCTGATCGTTACTGGGGTGACGATGTTTGTTTTACTTTACATTGTTTTGCTGATCTATCTGCCTTGCAGTTGAAGGGGATGAAGTCATAAGAGCTCCTGCTTGCTCCCTCTTCTCCCTCTTGCAGAGACTTTAGAAGGCAGCTTTCCATCGACACCAGACCCTTCAGACCTGCCTCCGAGGGGAACCCTAGTGACGACCCCGACCCTCTGCCAGCACATCGGCAGGCACTTGGAGAGAGGCTGTATCCCCGCGTGCAAGCCATGCAGCCAGTACGTGCAGTGCACTTAGCGACTTCTCAGCTAGCTCTGGCTTTTTTCCCCACTTTTGAATGAAAGTAGCTGTTTAAAAATTTGTCAGCTACTGACCAGCCACATGATTGAGGTCTGTTTTTAACTGTGTAGTAAGCAGCATAGGAAAGAGTGAGTATTGCTAGGTTGGAACACTGTCTTCATTCTGCATAGCACATTCCTTGTATGCAAAGAATCAGTTATGTATGGTATTTATTTTTATCACTATTTGCACAAATTATTGTTACTTTCTGAAGCAGGCGCTGTCTTTAGCAAGCCTTAGGTGGAACACGCTGCCAGAGTTTACTGCTGCTGAGTATTCCAGGAAGGTTTTTATTTTGAATCTTCTGTTCCGTTTCTTTTATATAGTGGAAGACCTATAAACTAGTTGAGTTTTTTCCTTATGCATAATTGTATGTACATATTTTGTAACAAAAAGAATAAAACAGAGAAAGCCAACTGTATTTCTTTCAGTAAATCCTTAGCCTTATAAAAGCATCTTTCTGGGCCAGGGGTGTAGCTCAGCGGCACAGCACCTGCCTGCCAAGCACAAGGCCCCGAGTTCTATTCCCAGTACAACAAAAAAAAAAAAATCTTTCTCTCCTTTTCTTCTACACTAAACAAAAGAGACATTTGTGGTTCTCCCATGAAGGAAAAGAGAATGAGAGTATATGTGTTTACTTGTGGAACTCAGAAACATTGAAAAGACTTGTGTGGCTGTGACAGCCATGCGAGCTGTGTGTGCGTGGACTGCTCATTGCTCATCAGGTCTCGAGAAGCTTCCAGTTCACACAAGACCTTACCAGTTCAGAAGGTTGTGTTTCTCCTGCTCTGGCTTCTCTTTCTCTCTCTACTTCTTTTTTTTGGTACTGGGTATCAAACTCGGGACCTTCCACTTGCGAGGCAGGTGGCAGAACCACTGAGCTAAATCCCCGGCCCTCTACTTCTTGATTGTAGATTTTGACAGTCATTTTCATAGAGAGGGCAGGTAACATCTACTCATCATTTTTAGGCATTTGCAAGTAAAATCACTGGCATGCTGTTGGAATTGTCTCCCGCTCAGCTGCTGCTTCTGCTCGCAAGTGAAGATTCTCTGAGAGCAAGAGTGGACGAGGCCATGGAGCTCATCATTGCACACGGACGGTAACGTGGACACTCAAGAGGCATCTCAGTAGTGTCTACCAGAGTATAGTACTTCAGATGCTTTTAAAGTGGTGCCTTACAGTCCATGAGCGAGACAGCTGAATCTCTTACGTTCCAGGATGGTAGAGTTTTACCAGTCACTTAGGTTGTAAAAGATCTTCTATGTACGTACTAGATATTTAAAAATGGCTTAAAAGGCCCATGTGTGGTGCCGCACAACTGTGATCCCAACATCCTGGAAGGCTGAGGCAAGAGGGTCACAGGTTCAAACCTAGCCTGGGTAACTTAGACCCTGTCTCAAAATAAAAAGCAACTCAACTTGAAGGCCTTGGGTTCAGCCCCAAGTGCAGGGTGCTGTCGGATGATACTTCAACTAAGGGCACATCAGACTCTTCTAGAATTCCCCTAGTGGCGAGAGACCACATTATACTCAAAAAAACCTTAGGATATAGCCCCTAACTTCTTGCGATAAGTGTGCAATTTCTTTTAGGCCTCTAGATTTACCTTAAAAATGTATGCAAGTTTTTGTTTTCTATTCTGTAATATATTTGTTGAATATAGATTTAAATGTATCTTAACAGTTAGATTACTTATCCCTCTTTTCCCAAGGTGACAAGTAAAAGTGACATTCAGAAGCAAGGCCATCCTCACTCTGTGGCTTTATCCTAGTTTTGAAGCTGTGAGGTGTCAGTGATTATAGATAACTTCCGCAGTGGTGGAGGATGAACCCAGGGATTCGCCCAAGCTTTAGCTCTGCCGCTGAGCTACGCCCCCAGCCCTTAGATAAAAATGTCTGTTCTTTCTTTCTAATCGTGATGTTTGATTGAGGAAGTAGCTTGGATACAGTCCGAAAGGGTTGGATAAGCCGGCAGGCTGAGGCCTGGCACTAAACAGCACTTCCAGAGCATTTGAACAGGTCAAGTCAGAGACGCTCAGGAGCAGTTTGTTTTCTGTTACTGCTGCTTTCCTTCCCTGGACTTGTATGAATTGTTTCTCTGTTCATCTGCCTTGTGGCCGGAGCTGTCTGATGTAGCTCACTGATGTAGCTTAACCTATTACAGAAAGTTATACGTGTGCATTTTTAAGATTTTGTAAATATGTGGAGTGATTAAAATATATGGTGATTGTTAAAATTTAAAAAAAATTATTACAGAAAAAGACACATTGACACATCCCTCTCCAAATGCGCCTTACACGTTGAACTGCTTATCCTGTTGTTCTTGCTACTTTCTGAAGCAGTTCTGGAGTCCTCTTTCCTGAGTGTCTTTAGTTGTGCTCCTGTGACTGCCTCAGTATCCTGAAACCACTCAAACTGCTTGCTTTTCGTGGTCATTTTGACTTTGGGTAAGAGCCAGGAGTTGCATGGTGCCAGATGTGGTAGATGAGGACTCACTGTGATATTTTTATGAGCCTGTACTTGGCAGCAGCATTCACCGTATTTTTTTCATGAAACCTCCTAAAGACATAAAGAGGACTTCCAGAACTGCTTCAGAAAGTGGCAGCAGAGATGGGATAAGTGTGTTTGTTTGAAGAGGGGTCAAGGGGATTTTGAAGGGGTTTAAATGCAAGGTGTCTTTTACTGTAACTTTTTAAATTTAGAAATTCACCATATATTTTGATTATACCACCTTCAGTGTTGCAATGTAGTAGTATTTTCAGTTGAATGCAGCTAACATACAAAATTGACTATTCACTTGGCTTTGCATGAACAATGAACTTAGTATTCTAGAATTAGTAAATATGCTACAGAATTTGATTCCTCTTTAAGATTGCTTCCTGAGCATTTTTATGCTCTTGTACAGTACCTGCTCTGAGCCTAATTTCCAGGACCCTGGTGAAGGCTCCATTTATTTTGTCTTAAATCAATAGCTTTTTGCCCATGATCTAGAATCATATATGCAGCATCTAGTGGGTTTTTAGAGTGTGTTATTGACTCCCCTGCTCCTTAGAACTCCACTAAGACTAGTTAAGTGCCCTGGATATTTGTTGACCTCAAAATGTTCATGCATTTATAAATTTTTATAAATGTCAGCTAATACATATTCTGATAATAAATTCTAAACATTGCAATTATCAATGTAAATGCCTTTTCATTTATTTTTAGGGAAAATGGAGCAGATAGTATCTTGGATCTTGGATTATTAGACTCCTCAGAAAAGGTACAGGTAAGGAATATTTTGTTCATGTGCTAATAAGTACTTAGATTTTAATTATAAGGAAGTTCAATGAAGGGGGAAGAAAATAGGACTTAGGGAGGAACTGATTTTACAAGTAAAATGGATAATTGCAGTAGAGTGAGAGAAGCAAAGGTAAGATAGGTGGCTGTCAGATACAGAATCAGGTAATAAGATTGGTGTAGTTAGGGCTGCATGTGACCCTGCTCACTGTTCCTGCTTTTTGAGCACACAGTTAAGCTGTAGTTAACTAAACTGGAGATATCATGAACTGAACAGCTGGAGAGAGGTGGTGTAGAACTCTTAAGGACTTTTTCCTCGAGGAAGCAGTTGATGGTAGCAGTACTCCAAACCAAACTGAACTGAACCGAAAAAAGCACCATAGTCTAGCAGTAAAAGAAGCCTTAGGACATCCCGTATTACTTCGTGAAGCGCATCTTATGCTTACTAGGCTATTGGAGAACTTCCAGTGCCCTCCATGGGGGGCAAACCCACTCTCATCTCAGCTGGCTTTTTGGGGGGGGGGTGCTAGGGATTGAACCCAGAGCCTTGTGCATGCTAGGCAAGTGCTCTGCCACTCAGCTACATCCCTACCTACCCCCAAATCTTACTTCTTTAACTGACTACAACTAAAAGCTCTAGATAAAATATATTTATATATTTATTTGTTTATTTAATTTTTTGGTACTGGGGATCAAACTCAGGATATCTCACTGGCCAGGCAGGTGCTATGCTGCTGAGCTACATCCCCGGCCCAGCTCTAGATAAAATATAAAAAGGGAAGTACTTGAAATTTTTGAAAAGTAAGCAATCGCACACAGATTGGAGAGGGAAGTCAGAACTTGAGAAATGCCTGATGTTGTGCCTTTTCAGGCAGGCAGGTAAAGTGGATCCTTGTTACTCCATCTTACCTGAAGACGGTTAAGGCTTTGGAAATTAAACTGCAGTATAAACATCTTCCCAAGTGGTGCATACCCAGGGTTCACCCAAACAGAGCAGCAAAGACTGTGCACACTCAATTAGCAATGCAAGTCCTGCGCTACTAAGATCTCCCCAGCCCCAGCGAAACAGAAGTTTCCACATCATTTGAATACAAGCCACCTTCACAATTTGATACTTAAATGTCCGAGATGCAACTGTTCAAAGGCCCTAAAATTACTCAGCAGACAAAGAACCAGGAGAGACTGGCCAGTTTTAGGAAAGGGACCAAAAGGTGGTGACAGTGATATGATCCAGTCTCATGCTATATGAGAGAGTAAATTGAAGGACAAAGGTTCTCAGCAGAGAAATAGAAAGTTAAAAAGACAGAACCAAACTGGAATTTTAGAATTGAAAATGCAGCATATGTAAGAAAGTTCACTGGATAGGTCCAAGAGCAGAATAAAGGTGTCAGGAAAGTGTCAGCTTATGGGTAGGTAGAAATTATCTCTTTGGAAGAACAGATAGAAAAGATTTTTTAAAACAAAACAAACAATTTTAGGACTTGTTTCAACACAATATAGAAAACTAATTCATGTCTTTGGAGCACTCAGAGAAAAAGAAAGCAGTTCCTTATAGGAAAAATATTTCAAGAAATAATAGCTGAAAAATAAACTTGATGAAAGGCATAGATTTACATATTCAAGGTCAGTGAGCTCCATGTAAGATAAACTAAAAGAAAATTATGTTCAGATACATTAGATTGGTTCTACCACATTTTTTAAAGCAGCCAAAGAACATTGTCTTACATATAGGAGATAGTATTTTTTAAATTAAAAATAATTTTTATTAGCACACGTTTGCAGTACATGATGGCTACATGGAAATAGTATTTTGAAAGCCAGCAAATTTCTTATCAAGAACTGTGGAGGGGGCCGGGGATTTAGCTCAGTGGTTTCGCCGCCTGCTGCGCAAGTGCAAGGACCTGAGTTCAATCCCCAGTACCAAAAAAAAGAACTGTGGAAGCTAGAAGACTGTGGAACCTCATCAGAATGCTGAAAGAATTGTCAGTCTTGCGTTTTATATCCAGTGAAAATGTTTTTCAGGCATTAAGGTGAAAGAAGCTGACTTGAATTTCATTTAGTGAATGTATTTAACAGATGTTTGTGCACAAGGTTTATGTATCACAATTCTAAAAAGGTGAATTAATTATCCTTAGGCAAGGTGCGGGGGTACACCTGTAATCTCAGCACTTAGGAGGCTGAGCCAGGGAGAGTCACTGCCATGAGTTTTAGGCCAGCCTGTGTTCTACCTCATGAGCTCAGGGCCAGTCTAGACTACTTAACAAAGACCCTGCCTCAAAAGATATGTGTGATGTTGTCCGTGTAAATAGGGATGTTGCTCTGCGTCCCCACTTGGCTCTGAATGATTTCACAGAGAACGTTCATACATTTCATTTCTTTGCCTAAGTAATTGTGGGGCTTCCTCTCTGCTACTCTCTTATTAGGAGAACCGAAAGCGTCACGGCTCTAGTCGAAGCGTAGTAGATATGGACTTAGATGACACAGATGATGGTGATGATAATGCCCCTTTATTTTACCAACCTGGAAAAAGAGGATTTTATACTCCAAGACCTGGAAAAAACACAGAAGCAAGGTTGAATTGTTTCAGAAACATTGGCAGGTAATAACCGTCACCTTAACATGTGGGGTTTGGGAAGGAGGGTGCTAGGGTTGGATCTGGGGCCTTACCATGCAAGGCATGCACTGTACCGCCGAGAGTCACTTACAGCTCCTAGGTTTTGTTTTTCTTTTAATCATTTTAATGAGAAATTTTTTAAAAATATTTGTTTTTAAATGGGGTGTATATTCTGTTTCACACTGGATAGAAATAAGGCTGTAGAGAATTCTCAATATTATATGTATATTTATATATGTGTAGGGTTTATGTATCTACAGTTGTTTTCTAATGTAAATCTTATTTGTTTGTTTTTATGTTTAGGATTCTTGGACTGTGTCTGTTGCAGAATGAACTGTGTCCTATCACATTGAATAGACATGTCATTAAAGTGTTGCTTGGTAGAAAAGTAAGTATTTTTGATGAACCGGACAGATTTTACAGTTTATGTCAGTGCTAGCACACTGTTTATAGTGTTCATTGCAATTAAATTCTGAAGTATCACAGTCATTATAATTTTTAGACACTTAACAGCATAGGTCAGTTCTTCATCTGCAGGGAGGTGCCCTGTGGGATGGGCACCCTGGGCAGGCTGGTCCCAGCAGCCTGGATCCTCTCGCACACCAGCTTTCCCAGCCACTTGGGGCTTGTGTGTTTATAAATGGTAAAGAAACAGTGTTATGCCTGGCAAATCATAGCACTCAATAAACTTTATCCATTATAATTAGTTGCCCCAGGTGGCAGTGGAGAATACAAGTAGTATTGGAAAGAGCATTCCAGCTTCAAAATATAAGTTAAGATTCACGTGGGTGGCACATAAAAGAATGTGCAAAACGTAGCACAGCATGCTTGTTATTTTTCCCTTGGTGGTGGAATTAGCTTAATTTTATTGTTTTGGTAGTCTGACGGGTTGGACATTTCTTTATCATGGGAAAAGGGAGAAAAACCTTTAAAATTAATATATAATGCTAATTATGAAGCTCTTGATTTTAAAAACTTTCTTAAAGAAGTTACTTGATACAAACAGTGAAATATTAGTCTTTTAAGACTGCATATCACACAGCTGATATAAATTGGCACCATTAACCCACCTCACCTTATGGCTGTGTCCCATAAAAGCACCTGTGAGAAGTTGGGTGAGCGGGCAGCTCATTTCCAGGTCCCCTTTCTGTCTCTGTCAGACACAAGCTATGTTTCTCTCAATAAATTTTTCCTACTCTTAAAAATAAATAAATTAGCACTGTTAAAACCATCGTCTGCTAATAATTATCTTTAATCAAACCTGCTGATATGTATGTGACATCTATATCCATCCATCCGTTTTTAAACTCTGGCCCTATTGAATTCTTAGTATTCCAGTTAAAATATTCTTGTGTAAAGAATTAGACTTGGAGCTGTTAACATATTGAGTCTTTTTTAAATTTTCTTTTGGTACCGGGGATCCAACTCAGGTCCTTGCACTTGCGAGGCAGGCGGCGGAACCAATGAGCTGAATCCTTGGCCCTCGGGTCTTTTTTTTTTTAAAGTAGTGCTAGGGATTGAACCCAGGACCTTCACACTGAGCTGTATCCCCAGCCCTTTTTGTATTTTTTATTTTGAGACAAGGTCTTGCTGAGTTGCTAAATTGCCCTGGGTGGACTTTTAACTTGCAGTCTTTCTGGCTCAGCCTCCGAGTGCTAGGATTACAGGCGTGCCACCATGTGAAGCTGATTCTGAGTCTTTTACAGGGTTTAGTGGTGTCACTTTGGTCCGAGTTTAGTTCAGTGATGTGACGTGTGCACGTTAGTGACTTTGTTTCAGTGCCATATTTACCATCTGGATTTAATCTGCATCTTGTGATTATCGTCGGGAGCAGACAGGTTGTGCGTCTGTTTTTGAGCCGGCTGCTGCACAGAAGTGAGCTCAGTGGACAGACGGTGCTGGCTTTTCAAATACATTGTTTTGGGAACTTGAAACACTTACATTGGCTTTACATTTTTTTTCAGGAAATAACTGTCTTTTTTGTTTTGTTTTGTTTTTGTTTTTTTGGTACGGAGGATCGAACTCAGATCCTTGCGCTTGCGCAGCCGGCGGTGAAACCACTGAGCTAAATCCCCGGCTCAGGAAATAACTTTCTATACTTTGAAAATTAAAGGAATTGTCCAAGCCAAAGATTTATTAAACTTTACCAATTTAAAACAGCACATACCTAGTGGGAAATTTTCTATGAATGTACCTCCAAATTAGATAAAATATCACAGATTTTAATTTATTAATGGATTGTGTGAAGTTTTTCGTAATCAAGTCTCACGGCTGTTTTCTCTTCTTAGGTCAATTGGCATGATTTTGCTTTTTTCGACCCTGTAATGTATGAGAGCTTGCGGCAGCTCATCCTTGCTTCCCAGAGTTCAGATGCGGATGCTGTTTTTGCGGCGATGGATCTGGCATTTGCAATTGACCTGTGCAAAGAAGAGGGAGGAGGACAGGTGGGGCAAATGCACAGTCTCTGGATTCTGCAGGAGAAGTGGGTCCCTCTGTTGTGCTTGCTTGTGTAGAAGCAGGACAGAGAGGTGGATGTGCATGCACTCAGAAAGAAGAATGAGCCTTCGAGACGGAGAGGAGGGATTTCTGTACTTAGGCCTAAAATGTTTGTAACTCTTAAGATATTTATCAGATAGAAACATCTTTAGATTTTAAAATTCTGGGAAACAGCTTTGTGTACTGTTAACTTATCATTGCTTTTACAAAATCACCTTTAAATATCACTGCCAACTTTTTCACAGGTTGAGCTCATTCCTAATGGTGTTAATATCCCGGTCACACCCCAGAATGTGTATGAATACGTGCGGAAATATGCAGAGCACAGAATGCTGGTGGTTGCGGAACAGCCGTTGCATGTGAGTGCTTTCTAGAAAGTGGTGTCGTGTGGTAAACTAGCTCACTTATATCCATCTCATCTGCAAAAACCCAGATTTTCAGACCAAAATAAATTATGAACCAGGTAAATTAAACCTTAATTTGAGAGTGTAGACCAAGTACTCGTTTTCTGTTGGTTAGAACTACTTGGAAAAACTATGTAATCATTGGAAAGTGGCTTTGGTGAACAGGTTTGCAAAGGATGCCTGTAGGCTACTGTGGAGGGCCCAGCACCACCACACCACGGTGACCTGCTAGATGCTAAGTATTTCTGCTCCCTGTGTGGGACAGATATGCAGGTCTGGAGTCATACATTCGGAGTTCAGGCCCATGGCCTGCTGCCCTCTAGCTAGCTGTGTGACATCTGCAGACTGTGAAGAGTAAATGATTGCTGCATGTAAGGTACTGTCTGTCACTGGTGGGCTGGGTCACAGGCCTGGATCTGGGCCCCAGCTCTCTGCCCACCCCCAACCAAGAGCATGACAAAACCCCCTAAAAGTGGGAAAATGAATTTACTCACAATTTAGCCAGATTGGGAGGGCAACTAGCTTACTGCCCTTCTGGCACGCAGAAGCACTCCAGTTCATAGCCAAGAAATGGCCGTGTGTAGATAATAAGCTTTGGCCTAGAGGGGTTGGAAGTGTCTGTCCTCCTAGGCGGCAGGACGGGGAGTGTGCTTTACACTCACTTGAGAAAGCTAGAGAACCAGAATATAACCCCCCCCCCCCCCCCAGGAATTGAATGCAGGGCCTCACGCTTGCCAGATAGGCGCTGCACCACTGAGCTGCATCCCCAGCCCCAAAATCCTAGTTTTAAAAAACCCATTTTTACTTCTCCATTGTAGCACTTGAAACAGTTCTTTGCACATGGCAACTTTTCAGTAAGCTTCTAGATTTTGATTCAAGTCTGGGAGGTTCGTTGGTGGTAGACATCCATTTCCTAGGTGGTAGACAGGATAACACTAGGACAGACTGCAGTTCCTCTCAGTGAGCACAGCTGTTTCAGTTTCCTGGCACATAAAGCACTGTGTCCCTTTGAACTGTCGTGTATACCCCATGCCTTTCCACTTTCTGCCATTCTCTTCTGAATCTATTAAGAAATTCAAAAACACAGAACTTAATATTTTTCTCTCTGGTTTAAAGTGGGAATTAACATTCTTAGAGACGCCTGTCAAAATTAGATGTTGAGCTTTAACAATATAAATAAATACTACATAGAAAGTAAAGTACTGGATTGTAATATAAAATAAATTTTTGAAATTCTCTAGGCAATGAGGAAAGGTCTACTAGATGTACTTCCAAAAAATTCATTAGAAGATTTAACAGCAGAAGATTTTAGGCTTTTGGTAAATGGTTGTGGTGAAGTTAACGTGCAAATGCTGATCAGCTTCACATCTTTCAATGATGAATCAGGTAGGAAATTTGTTTACATGTTTAAGGAATAAACTGTACAATTTGGTCAGCATTTTCTGAGTTTCTAGTTCTTAGATCTGCTTCAGGACCTGGAAAGTACAGTGTTACTTGGGCATTTAAAATTTTTTATATTATTTTTAAAGGTATGGTTGAACAAAATATTTTGAAGGCTTAGCATTAGCTGAATTTTTGTAGATTTTAAAGAATGTATGGTTTAGGGCTGGGGATTTAGCTCAGTGGTGCCACACCTGCCTTGCAAATGCAAGGTCCTGAGTTCGATCCCCGGTACCAAAAAAAAAAAAAGATTATATGGTTTAGAAAAATACAAAAGAAAATCATTAGTGAAGAGCCAGGCTTGGTGGTACACACCTGTATCCTAGCACTCAGGAGGCTGAGGCAGGAGGATCACTGCAAGTTCAAGGCCATTCTGGGCTACATAGCAAGACCCCATCTCAGAAGAACAAACAAAAAAAATACTGAGTAAGAAAAAATAATCCATGTGATAATGGTACCAGTTCTCCCTGATTGATGTCCCTTAAACAATAAAGAATTTGTTTGCATGCTGTTTGTTTTGTAGAGGCGCACCAGTATCACTTTAAAAGACAGCAGCACCCAAGTATATGTAGAATCAGGAGAAGTCGGGATAATTCTCCCAGAGCAAGCTTTATCTCCAGTGTTTGATTTGCTCTGCAATTCTTCTTTTAAAGTCCCTGAAAGTAGAAATGGATTTTAGCTGTATCTATGCTGTAAAACATTGGAAGCTCACAAAGTTCTCCATGAAAGGGTTACATTTATAATCCAAAATTATTGTGTACATAAAGATGTCAATATTTTACTTTTGTATTTTGTTTTAAATACAGCCAGAAAATTTAATATGGGTAAATTTTCTTTTTCTCTCTTTGTGCTTGGGGGTAAATACGTAGGTTATTCTATAATAGTTTTGACTAATGTGTAGGTTTCTAATTTTTCTATATTTTGAGACAGGGTCTTGCTGTGTAGTTCAGGCTGGTATTGAACTCACAGCAATCCTCCTGCCTCAGCCTCCCCAGTGCTGGGATTACAGGTGTGGGCCATCATGGGCAAGTTTTCAATATTTAAAGAATTTGTCGGGCCAGGGATTTAGCTCAGTTGTTTCGCTGACTGCTGTGCAAGAGCAAGGACCCGAGTTCGATCCCCGGTACCAAAAAATAAAAAATAAAATAAGAATTTGTCTCATTTTTAAATCAGAAATCTAGGAGGGGAAAGCAAGCCATCTAAAGAAATTGCCTAAGGCTTAATGAGCAGCGCAGGCATCATTGGGAAGGTTTCTAGAAACAGAATCTCTGGTGTCCCCTCCTTACCCTCACATTCAGTGAATGAATGAGATTCTGCATTTTTAAGGATCCCATGTGATTTATAAACTCACAGAGAAGCACTGGTGAAGGCCTGAGAAGAATCTTGTTTTCCAGCTGTGCCTGCTCTAAAGTCCTGTGACTGCCAGCTGTGAGGCCGCTGTTCCTTTCGCAGAGGTCATCTTTAGTCAGGACTGGCCAGTCAGCTGCAGAGGTTTTGCATTATGCAAATGTTCCTAATTTCCTTTATTAGGAATTAGACACCCCTCAAATCTTAAGTAACAGCTTCATTTTGCATAAGACATTCAGCAGTATTCTGAAAACTCAGTACACTTTCTGTTTTTTATTTTTAGGAGAAAATGCAGAAAAGCTCTTGCAGTTCAAGCGCTGGTTTTGGTCAATTGTAGAGAAGATGAGCATGACAGAACGACAAGATCTGGTGAGTTTACGGCTTTGCCAAGTTCGTAAAAGGAAATATAGGGTTTTTTATTGCTAGGAATTGAACCAAAAGTGTTACGCACATCTACTGCTGAACTTTCCTCCCAGTCCTCAATTTTAAACTCCTGCAGGTGATAGCCTAAGACTAGATTTAAGTTTGTGATAGTCACTTTAATTAGGATAGGGAAATTGCAAAAGGTCAGAAATGAAAGACATTTCCTTTACTCTGTAACAGAATCCCTGAAGTACTATTAAACTTTGAAATCTGTATTAGCTGTTAATGCGCTGTCGTTAGCCCTAAAGGATACCAGCTTATGTTAGATATTTTCCCCCAAACCTTGAGGGATGCACTACAAGATCCCCAGTAGGTGCCTGAAACCAGCGATCATGTCCAACCCTGTAACTAATGAATTGTGTCTGCAACTTGTACTGCTTGGAGTCCAGTAACAAAACTAGCATCTGGGGGCCGGGGATTTAGCTAAGTGGTTCCACCCTCTGCCTCGAAAGCGCAAGGACCCGAGTTCAAGCCCTGGTACCAAAAAAAAAAAAGAAATGATCATAGCTCTTTCTTGCTTCACAGTTTCTGGATAGAACTGATCTTACTGAAGATCTTAGCCACCTTAGCATACAGTTTTCTAATTAAGTCAAGAGCTTTTCTGTTTTTGCTTGACACTTTGTGCCAGCTTGAACCACTGGTGGTACATGCGTGACTGTCGCGTCAGGTGGCTTGAACCACTGGTGGTACAAATGGATCTAAGCACTTTCATTGGTCTTTTTAATAATAAAATTAATAAAAAGTATAAATGGACCGAATCTAGTTGCTTGAATTTGAATAATTACTGCCCAAATAGAAATGTTAATACTATTTATACCAATTAGAAATTATTACAATTGATAAATGTATTAATTTCATTAAATTAAAAGAAATTTATATTTGTGAAGTTTATCAGTACTTAACATGTTCATGATGAGGCTGTAATTCTTTTGTCTCACTGCTGGGTGGCTCTGATTTGGATTCCATTGTCTGATGGGAAAGAGCTAACCACCAAGGAGCCCCAGGGGATGGTCTTACATGTATTGCCAGTGGTTTGAGGCCGTGGGACCATGTTAATTCTCTCAGTTTTAATATGGAAATCTCACAAGTACCCGATTGCAGGTGTATAATACGCATTTCTAACTCCTGTACCACAAATTAGCTGTAGTATAGTTTTTTATACCTTTTTCATGATTTCCTTCAGGAACTGTAATAAGACGCCGTCTGGTTTGCTAAACCCCACCTTTTTTTGCGTCACGGTGAGCAAAGACCCCTGAGAAGCGGTACCAGCCGCCTGGTGGGACGGTCGTGTGTGCCACAGCTGGCTCAGGCTGGTGGGAGCGAGTGCGTTCAGTTCAGTTCAGAGCTGCGCTGCAGCCAGGCGTGAATTACGGCCCCGTCAGGAACGTGTAAAAGGAAGCATTTTATGGCTTCTGTTTGGCATGTCTGAATTTCAGGAATTACTGTTCTTAGGCTTTGGGGCCATTACATGAAATAAAGTTACTTAACACAAGCAGTCAGTGGGATGCCCCAGGTGCCTGCGAGGTGACTGGCCAGTGAGCTGTGAGTCGTGTGAGTCTGTTAGACAGAGGGATGGCCCTGGAGAATGGCACCCAGTTGCCGTGTATTAGTTGTTTGTTCCTGGGATTTTCCATCTAACATGTTCGGGCCATGGCTGACCATGGATAGCTACAACGCAGAAAAGGGAGCCCCAGATGGGGAGGTGGCTGGTGTCTAGCACGTAGACTGAGGTGTGGAATAGCTTACGTGCCGTCCTCAGAGATGCACACCCTCCATCTTTGCAACAAGTGGCAAATCCCTGCAAAATTTTGAATACCATCTTGATACCTGCGTATTAAGAGATACTAAATCTGTTATTTCAGTCCTACTTGTTACTAGCACAGAGCCCCGGGAACTCAGAGTTAGTGAGACAATGTGAACTTTGACCTCAGCAAGAACGAGTCTGAGCCGTGGAGCCCGTGTCCGCCATGGGTGGGCCCATGACCGACCAGATGAGTGTACTCATTCATCTCCGGGGAGCTTGCCTTGGGCTGGCGTGAGAAACGTGCAGGGCGTTCCGTCCCTGACTCAGTACGGCAGGAGCCTTTCTACTCAACATTCCTCAGGGTCCCTGCAGTGTTCCCCAGACTAACTGGCCTAAGTTCTTAGTACACTAAACCAGAGTGTTGATGAAATGTTTTAAATGATCCAGTTTCTGGTATTCCTTCTGTTATTTAGGAGGGGAATGGTTAACTTGTGCAGGAAAGCCACGTTTACAGATTCCCATTTACCCTAGGGTTTGGAGGCGCTCTTTAGGAGGGCAGGATCCTTGGTTTCAGCATTCCTGAGTCTTCCGGACTCCAGGGGCCTGCCGGGATTTCTCCACGATGGGGGACACGTTGCTCTTTGGTCCTAGCTGCTGCCTGGGTCAGTCAGTCATCCTAGTAACAGGAGTTAGGTTGTCCCTCAGATAGGTTTGATGTAGAAATCGGTCGGCATTTAACTTCCCTGGTTGTATGGCCCACAAGTGCCCACGAGTGTGTACATCCTATCTGTCCCTATTGCCTTCAGGGTGCCCTGAATGGTTTATTTGGATTCTCTCACCTGTCAATCTTTGAATTCAGGGCACCTTTGTTAGAGAAACCCAAATCAGTTTTGTACAGCCTATCATGGCTATTCTGTCTTGTCTATTTTTATCTATTCTCTAGTTTTTGTTTTTGTTTTTGGTACCGGGGATTGAACTCAGGTCCTTGCGCTTGCATAGCAGGTGACAAAACCACTGAGCTAAACCCTCAGCCCAAACAATTCTCTGGGAGAGACATTGCTCTGGAGTCTTTTTTTTTTTTTTGGTACGGGGATCTAACTCGGGTCCTTGCACTTGCAGGGCAGGCGGCGGAACCACTGAGCTAAATCCATGGGCCTAGTTTTTGTTTTTTGTTTTTTTTTTTTCAGTACTGGGGATCGAACTCGGGTCCTTGTGCTTGCAAGGCAGGCGGTTAAACCACTGAGCTAAATCCCCGGCTCCAGTTTTAATTTTTTTAAATTTGTGTACATCCTCAGTTCAGTCACTTAAGTTAAATCTTACTCTAGTTTCTGCCTTATACTGGAAGAAAAAATTGCTGTTCACTGATAGAAAACAAAAAAGAAAATTTTCTTAAATAACAGCCTCAGAATTTCCTATCACCAGCTTTAATTTGTGAGCATCACTCTTTCAATGTCTGATGAGAATTTACTTTTAGGGTTTAAGCAACACCCTTCTACCCTTCTTACCTGTTTTGGTTTCCTTTGTTTTTAGAGACAGGGTCTGTCTCACTGTAGTTCAGGCTGGCCTTGAAGAACTCACTGTGTAACCCAGGCTGGCCTTGAACGCACAGCGATCCTCCTGCCTCAGCCTCCTGAATTCTGGGATCACAGGCGTGCACTACCACACCTGGTGCTCTTTCTGTTTTGGGAGACCATCTTCCCCTGATATGCTGAAGGCGAAGAGCTTAAAGCACACAAGAGCATACATAATAGGGCTTTCCCAAACAGTTCTCCTGAGAATTATTACCGCTGCAAAATTATAGGGTTTCCGGGGTTAGTGGGTCAGAACTACATAGTGTGTGTCCCTCTTGAAGAGCACAGCTCACTAGTAAAGTCTCCCCAGCTTCTTGAAGGCTCAGTCATGCAGTCCTGTACCCCTGCCACACTCATTCTTAGAGCTTCCTTTCACCTGGAAAATAAGTGGCTGGACCAGCTGTTTTCCAGCTCCTCTGTAGCTCTTTGAAGTCTTTGTTGTTTGTTTGTGTTTTGAGACGGGGTCTTGCTTTGTAGCTCAGGCCAGCCTTGAATTCACTGTGCAGCCAGACTGGCCTGGAACTCGAGATGATCCTCCTGCCTCAGCCTCCGGAGTGCTGGGATTATAGGTGTGCACCACTACCCCAGGCTTCTTTGAAGATTTTGTAAGCCTTAATACTTAGAACAGTTTCCCCTCCTCTTCCCTGTTCCCTTCTGAAAAATTGTAGATGAGGTTTCTCATACAAGTGTTTCAGGAAATATTCAAGGAAGGTTTATCTTTGGTTTTTGTATGTAAATGGTTCTAAAAAGTAGGATTTAACATCTATTGAACATTGGGCCCAGCATTTAGCTCAGTGGTTTCACCACCTGCTGCTCAAGTGCAAGGGACCCGAGTTTGATCCCTGGTACCAAAAAAAAAAAAAAAAAAGTCAAGCCAACATCTATTGAACATCATTTACTCAGTATTGCACAGAGTAGCCCTATAAAAAAATATATTAACATGGTTTATTTTATGAATTTTGACGTGCAGTCGATATTCCCCAAAACTTTAATTTATGAAATTATTTTGTATCAGAATGTAGCATTGATAATACAGTATTCCCCCCAATAGATAAAGGGCACAATAACTGTTTTAGATGACCTGTGTGTGTGCCAAGCCTAGGACTGTCATTTTTTGTTTTAAAAGTGTTTGGCATTTTCCACTGATAGATTCTCTATGGAATTTAGCCACAGAAAAGGACTTAGAAGCCAGCCATCCTGGTGCATGCTTGTAATCCCAGCTATTTAGGAGGCTGAGGTAGGAGGACTGCAATTTCGAGGTCAGCCTGGGCAACTTAGTATATGACCTGTCCTCAAAAAAACCAAAAGGGGGCTGGGAATGTAGCTCAGTGGTAGGGTGCTTTCCCTTAGAGAACATCTGGGTAAGTAGTTTCATGTTAAGAGGAGAAAACCAAGCTCCCAAGACAGTTTTTCACTTACTGTGACACTTGTTAAGCCTGCATACCCCCGCCCCTCAGTCACTTTAAGGTCTGGCTCCTCGTTAGTACAAGAAAATACATTTAAAACCCAGTTCAAAATAATGTGTCTTTGGTTTTCTGATGTAAGAATAGAGCTCTGTATATGTGTTGACTGAATTAACCCATGAAGGCCAAACTTGTAATTCTTATATTCCTGTTTAGGTTTACTTTTGGACATCAAGCCCGTCATTGCCGGCAAGTGAAGAAGGCTTCCAGCCCATGCCATCAATCACAATAAGACCTCCAGATGACCAACATCTTCCTACTGCAAACACTTGCATTTCTCGACTTTACGTCCCACTCTATTCCTCTAAACAGATTCTCAAACAGAAATTGCTACTTGCCATTAAGACCAAGAATTTTGGTTTTGTGTAGAGTATAAAGTGTGTAATGCTGTGTAATATTACTAGCTAATTTTGTAGATTTTTTTCCCATTTGTCTATAAAAATTTACAGAAGTTAAATGCTGTCATACCCCCTGGTGATACCTTAAAGAGATTAAATGCAAACATTCCTTGCTGAGTTCATAGCTTACAGGCCTGAGGAGCACTAGCAACATTTGGTTAAAACTGTTTGCTAGGCACCAACTTCTGGGTCTAACCCCAGCCAAAGAGGACAGCAGAACAACATGATTTACACTGTGATTTATCTTTTTGCTGAGGGGAAAAAATGTAAAATGTTCTGAAAATTCACTGCTGCCTTTGTGGAAAGTGTTTCAGCAGAGGTTCTTGTATAGAGGGTTAGGGAATTTCAAAATAAAAAATTACGTATGTTCTGTGTTTTCATTTTAACTTCTTTATGTGTTTAATTTGTGGTTGGCTGCAGTTGTATATCATGTATATGGGACTTGTCAAAAGTTCTTGGCACTCAGATCTCAGAGCTGAGGTCACTTTTACCTACACAGACCACTTCTGTTGCGTTTATTTCAGCTGCATCGAGCTCTAGGATACTAAGTGATGTCACCCGTGTTCTGCGTGTAACGTGTTCACTTGGGCGAGGGTGCTCCTTTGTGCATACGACGGGGCCGGTACAGTGCTTTCCCCACCTCCTCCTCGCTGTGTCCCTGGGTCAGTGCAGTCAGCAGGTGGCTGCCGTTCTCAGCCCCAACAGACATTTGTACCGAGGGAGCCTTCAGTTATGTAAACAGCCTGGGCACTTTCTGATAACTGTAAAATGTTTTATAAGATCATAATTATTGAAAATACATTTTGGAAAAATTTAAATGTTCATGAGCAGCTTAACTACTTTTGTATCTAACCTTTTTTAAGTATCTTGTTACATTTACTTTTTTAAATAAATTACAGAAGAAATGTCAAGTAACATTGAAGAAACAATAGTTTTTATTTATATAGTACATTTTTAAACTAAGGGCAATACACCGACATGTTACGTGGATAAAAATTTTGACGTAAAGAACTGAAAGTTTACATGCACCTGGACTGTAAGAAACAGAAGAAACTCAGCCCACATTTTACAGTTAGCAGAGAACCCTAAATGGCACCTGGCCAGGCCACCTTTTCTTTTAAAAATGGGGGAAGTGAAGCATGACCATTACTTGGCGTGGAAAGTCCAACTTGTAACTAAACTACCATTACATAGCCTGCACCCAATATCCCTGAACTCTTACGGCTTTCGTAGCTTTGCTCAGTGGCGTAATAAGGAACACTTTTCTTCACTGAGACTTAAACTAGTCACTTTACATGTTAAAAACGAAGAGAAAGATTCTCTAGACTCTCTTGCTTTTTCAGTCCCTATGTAGGACTTCTGGCCTCGGAATTGTTCCCATGTTCAAGGGCACTATGCTTTTATTACATAACTTCCTTTAGGAGACCGAGACCAATCCACATGACATTCTCCGCCCTGTTGACACTAAACATACTTAAAACAGAATGATAGCAGTAAAACTCATTGTATTACTTAAAACTTATACAACAACATGCTGTATTAGATATGTGTAAATTAGTCAAAGTGAGACATTGGTTTTTATGTCTAAATGCTATTTCTGAATAAATGAAATAGTAATTAGATTAAGAGCTGATTAACATCCATGTGTTTGAAAGACAAAATTTATATCACCTTAACCTCTGTATGCACATGATGGGATTGATAAGTATTACACGAGAAACAACTGTTTAGGACATTTGAAACCCTAATTGTGAATTTATTTTTAATAGTTATTGAAAGAATGAAATATTTAATGCAAATGTCTTAAGTCTTCCTAAATCAAGATTTGGGTTAAAATGCTTTTAGTAATATTAAAAGCAGAGTTTTTTTTAAAAGTAAAGCATAAAACGGTTCTAAATGTAAAATAAAGTCATGTAAAATAAAGTTCTCTTTTGGTCTTGTTCAGTGACTAATTATAATAGATTTGGAAAAATTTAGGAAGAGAAGACCAAGAATGAACTTTACTACAATAGGAGTTTTCGAAGTTTGCTGCTTCTACTCTCTCCTCTTTTTTAATCTGCATACTAAGACTACCCAGTATAGGGACCTACTGGGCAGACTTGAGAGTGTTTTTCATAAGATTGATTTCACTTATTAGGACTTCCTTCCAAACAACATTACTCTCATTAAAGATGTGATTATTTTTATGCATTTAAAAATACAAAGCTGAAGCAGGAGGATTGCAAGTTCCAGGCCAGCATGGACAACTTAGTGAGACTATTAAAAAAAAAAAAAAAAAGGTTTAGGGATATTGGTCAACTCAAAGGCCCTGGGTTAGGTCCTCAACAGCACAAAATAAAGGTGATTTCTCCAGCACTGAGGCAGTGTTCTCGTGCTTTGTGGCCTAGCGTGGGGGTCAGTGGCAGAGCATCTGCCTGGCAGGCACAGGTCCTAGTCGGATCCCCAGCGCTTCGGGAAGTGGTGAGATCCATTTGCAAGTTCGTACTGTGGATTCTTAAGCATCACTCTTCTCACTCCCTTTTGGGATTCAGTAAGTTTTGGTGGAAGCCAGAAGTCTCCATTCTCGACAAAACCCCCCTCCCCCGGTGATGCCGAAGCTTGCCCCAGGAAACATCCTTGATGGAAACAGAAACCTGCCCCTGGGAAAGTTCCTTCACCAGACTCAGGGAAAAGCCTCCTGCCCATCACCTGCTGCGGCATTGGGGTCTTCCTCATAGGCTGGTTGAAGTACCTTTAATAGACTGCCTGGGTAGTGACCAGAAATGTCAATATTTACATCAACCTAAGTAGACATGAACGTAGAGATTAATTCTTCACACACCAATTAATGTAGACATTATTTAAAATGGGACTTGTTCGGCAGGTGTGGTGGTGCACACCTGTAATCCTAGAAGGCTGATGCAGAAGGATCACAATTTCGAGGCCAGCCTGGGCTACACAGTTACCCTGGCTCAAGGAGAAAATAAAGTGGCTCACAAGGATACGTTGGCAGGGTATGGTGGCCCATACTTGGAAGGCTGAGGCAGGAGTATCACAAGTTCAAAGCCAGCTGGGCAATTTAGCAAGACCCTGTCTCAAAAAGGACTAGGATGCAAAAAAAAAAAAAAGGACTAGGATGCAGCTTGGTGGTAGAGTGCTTGCTTAGCATGTACAAAGCCCTGGGTTCAGTCCCCAGTAAAACACACGCGCGCGCACACACACACACACACACACACACACACACATACGTACCCTGGATTAAATACCTAAGCAAACTATTTTGTTACTGTGCTTACAACTCCAAAAGACTGTTGACTGCAATATGAAGTTTCTCTCTTCACCCAAGGCATTCTGCAGCGTGTGATTCCAAAACACTGGGCTGTGCAGTATTATTTTTTTCATTTTTCTGGTACCAGGGATCAAACTCAGGTCCTTCCACTTCTGAGGCAGGTGGCAGAACCACTGAGCTAAATCCCTGGCCCTCTGGCCTCTTTTATTAATTTTGTTTTGTTTTTTGTTTGTGGTACCAGGGATGGAACTCGGGTCCTTGCACTTGTGAGGCAGGCGTTGGAACCACTGAGCTACATCCCCGGTCCTGTGCAGTATTACTTTGCAGAAGGTTTGGTGATTATCCATAAGTGAGTTCATCACAGAATAGTGAAATATTCTTGTAACAGTCTTGTTGCATTACTCTGAAAAGGCAGCGATTCATATATTGTTGCTAATGATTTCTAAAAAAAATTATTTTGGGGGGCTGGGAATTAAGCTCAGTGGTTCCGCCGCCTGCCTCGCAAGCGCAAGGACCCAAGTTCCATCCCCAGTACCAAAAAACAATTATTTTTGTCCTTCAGTAACATTTCCTAAGGATAATAATTAGAACTGAAGATCCGGGAATTTTCTAAAGCCAACCATGGTACTTACCTTTAAGTCCAAATGTCTTAAAATGAGAAGCACACATAACAGAAGGGGGCAGGGCAGTGGGGATGGAACCCAAGGTCCTCACAATGAGCTACATCCCCAAACATTTTTTTTTTTGAGACAATTTAGGGCCTCCCTAAGTTGCTAGAGGAGTTGCTAAATTGCCCAGGTTGGGCTCAAACTTGAGATTCTCATGTCTCAGCCTCCAAAGTGCTGGGATTCCAGATGTGAGCCACCACCTTCTGCTAAAGATGTAAATAGCTTCATACTCTAAAAGGAGTAACCGTCTTTCATGGATCAAAGAACTCAACTTCCTAAATCTTTTGAAGAATGTGTCTGATTGCTTCTAACTGGGAAACTTTAACCACTTTTACAGTTCACCCTAGCATCACTCAGTTTGAGTACTATTTCAAGTGTTGCTCAGGCATGTGTTATTTCAACCAGTCAACTCATGTTTTCTTGTTTTGTAGCTTTTTTTGGCTTAAATTCTTTTATTGGTACCTTTCAGGTATACAGTACGGTTACATTTATCACTGGGTGCTTGTACCTGTACATGATGCATCTTGGTTCTTATTTTTTCCCCATTCCCTGTGCGCCCTTCACCCCCTCCACCCTTCCCTCTTTACATAGACTTTGTTTCCATTTTTTTTCTTTTCTCATAATTTTTCCTTTCCCTTCTTTCCTTTCCCCTTCCCCTCCCACTTCTCCTACCCCTTTGGACTTTTTCTTCCTATTTCAAATTATCAATTATTCATTTTAATCATTTTAACCCTTATTTACACTTCCATTTTCTCACACTAGAGAAACTATTCTGTATTTACACGTGTGTCCTATTTACTCAATATGCATCCATTTAGCTATAAATGTCTCTAGGTTCTCGTTCTTTATGGCTGAGTAGTACTCCATTTTATAAAAAAATCACATCTTCTTTATCCAGTCTCCAGTTGATGGGCGCTTGAGCTACTTCCAAGCTTTAGCTATTAGGAACTGTGCCACTATCAACTCATGTATTGAATAAATTTGATAAAATTGTTTTTATATTTCCTGTTACCTTATAAAAATTAATGAAAAAATGCAATTTTTGGTCATCCTGTATTTAAATAATTGGACTAGTAAGTGGTTAAATCAATAGTTTACATTGTTGGGCAAGGGATTTAGCTCCGTGATTCCGCCACCTGGCTCATACGCACAAGGTCCCAAGTTCGATCCCTGATACCAAAAAAAAGAGTTTACATTTTTTCTTTGATGGGAGAAGGATCTCTTAAGGAAAAATATCAGGCCAAAGTATTTGTAGTTGAAATACATTGGGATTGGGGGTACTGGGGAATCAAACCCAGGGTGGATGCTCTTACCATTGAGCTATATCCCCAGCCCTTTTTATTTTTTATTTTGAGATAAGGAACTGCTAAATTGCCCAGGTTGGGCTCAAACTTGAGATCCTTGTGCTTCAGCCTCCCAAGTGCTAGGATTACCGACATGTACCACTGTGCCTGGCCAAAATGCTTTTTTGTGGGGAAGATGACTTTTAAATATTTATTAAATTTGAAGACACTGTCACTGGCAAGCTTATGGCATGGGTGTGGTTGAGGTGTTTTGAGTATTACAGATTAGCCTTTGGTATCTTTATAAAATGCTTCGTGCTTCTAGGTAGCCAACAACAATCAAGATTTTTCAGTTGTCTAATGGAATCATGGGTCCTGTGAATCACAGGTCTAATGAATCACAGGTTCACAGCCTATGAAAATGGAGGGCTTATGTAATGATCACCTTTACTTTTCCATTTAGTATCATTAAGGAAGAAATTGAAGCTAGATTTATGTCATGTTTCCTTGCTTAAAAATTCTACCCACAGCCGGGGATTTAGCTCAGTGGTTTTACCACCTGCTGCACAAGTGCAAGGACCTGAGTTCGATCCCTGGTACCAAAAAAAAAAAAAAAAAATTCTACCCACAGAAATGAGATCATAGTCTCCTCTCAACTACCAT